CATATATGCTACCCGGTTTCTAGTGTGTGAGGGTGTGAGAGAAGTGTAGGAGCTGTGAGTTTTGCCAGGGAGGAGCATGGCCTTGTGCCTGACCTTTTTTCTTCTCCTTCTCCTAGCCTTGGTTGCTGATTATTGAGGCTATTATACTATCTACACCCTGCCCTTTGTGGGCAGTCAAGAAGCAGTCGGATTGGGAAGGTTGAATGGGATTTCTTGGTGTCGATTGTGGTGTCGATTTTGATGAAGCTGAGCCCGGTTTGGTGTTGATTGGAGTCCCAAAATCCTACAAATCTGACGCAAACAAGAACATGGTTCCTATCCCCAATAATAATTAATTAGAGGGACGAATGAATGGTGATTTTTTATTAGAATTTAGAAAGAAAGAGATAACAGCTCCTTTTATTTACATTTTTAAATTTTTAGACATGTTTGAACCTCATTTTAGTGTAGAATACATTTTAAAATAGTAGATTAATGAAGAATGTGTGGTTAAAATATAAAGAAAAATTTTGAAATTGCGTGTAATATTATTTTATTGAAAAATGTATTGTTGAAAAAGAGAGTAAAAAAATGTATTTTGATAAAAAAAAAATGGAGATCAAATAAGTTCATAATCGAACTAATGTGGTAGGCCTCGTTGATTTTCGAGCTAGACAATCAAGCACGATACGGGCAGTACATTAGATCAGCCCATGAACTTGTTCAATTTGAGATGGGATAGTTTCCATTCCATTTTTAACCAAGTGGACAACCGGACATGCTGAGCTTTAAACTAATCAATTTCAACCAAAAATAGAGGAAGTCGAAATATCCCCTCACCTTGCCTGCCATGTTTTCTTGTCGAGTATCTCCCTACCATCCAGCTTCTTCTACTCTTCAAACTTCCTCTCTACTACCTGCCCAAAAGGTACCCCCGTTTTGCCAAAGTTAGTCCCAAGATTTTCTTGAAACAGCTGTAGCAGTTCCCACTTCTCAGAAAAAAATGAAGCTGTGGATAAATTCCAGAGAGTGGGCAGATTGCAAACCATTTGCTTAGGCTTTGGTCACAGTAGATGAGTTTGAATTAGCGTCGAAATTGAAGTCCAATTTATCCTCTTTTGGTTTAGCCCCTGATAGTTGCTCGTACTCAATTTTGGTGACTTTTACTTCAATAAGAACGAGATAAACGAAGCGGAAACTGTGTTGGATCGTATGCTGGAAAATGTGTTCCTGCCCATTCACTACTTTGATCAATTCATTCATTGTTAAAATGGAATGTTATAAGATGTCTATGAGGTGTTTGATATAATGACTAAAAAAAGGATGTTAGCCAATAATCAATACATATAATTGCTTGTTGAAGGGGCTGTGCTATGTGGGGAGAGTAGAGGAAGCCTATGAATTGCTAATGAATATCAAAAAATCTTTGATCAAACCAGATATTTATACTTACTCTGTGGTGAAGGATGGTTTTTGCAAAGTGGGAAGATCAAATGAGGCATTGGAATTGTTTGATGAAGCTTTAGAAATGGGATTGACACCAAATGCAGTCGCTTATAATACACTGTTTAATGGTTACTTTAAGGAGGGAAGGCCGTTGGATGGTATTTGTTCGTTGAAGCAAATGTAGGAGAGGAATCTGCAAGCCGGATTTTGCAAGTTATAGTACTTTGTTACATGGAACGTTGAAATGAGATAAAACTAATGCAGCTTGGGGATGTACAAGGAGATGATCGGGATTTGTTTTCAAGTTGATGAGAGGATGACAAAAACCTTGTCGAGACGGTTGTGCAGGAGTTCGCAAAAAGACTGCTGCTGCTGAATGATTGCGTACGAAGTGTTTGAGAAAATGAAGCATGAGGATTGTGCAATATACTCTTGTACATATAATCTAGTGATTGTAGCCTTTTGCAATGAAAAAGATAATGATAAGGGATTTTGAGATTTTATACGAGATGATTAGGACTGAATATTCTCCGAGTACGTTCATTGTTGTATTCCCGGCACTTTCTATCTATGGAGAGGTTGACAAGGCATTGTCAGTTTTGTGCTGATTCACGAAGACAGGATGGCCAACAGAATTCCATTCAACCTTTTGATTCATGGGTTGAACAGACAAGGAAGGTCATTAGATTCTTGTAGTGTATATGATTTAACAGTGAAAAGAGGGATGGTGCCAAAGAGAGCCTAGAAAATGTTGGCCTGAACAAGGGTTAAAATAAATAATCCTCATATGATTAGATACTTTGGATTTGATTTCCTGTCTGAGCTCTATAAAACTTCTAGTGTAGCTTGAACTTGTATGCACAATTAATAGATGAAGTGAATATTTAGTACATGGTACTAGATCGTACTAACAGTATAATACTGTATTTTTCTCGACTGAATACATCTTCAGTCTGTTGACTACTAGACTTTTGCTGACTGAATCAATCCATAAACCTAAACCCCGGAAACCTTTGTTACCAAGGTACCAAAACGTAAGGACAACTAGAAGTCCATTTACAATGAACAGCTGCAGAACAATTTCTTGAATCCACATGGAAAAAAGTCATTGGATGTCCAAAATAGTTAAAGATATCAAACTCTTCTACTGTACAAAAATGATATATATAAGTAGTCTATGCACGACTCATGTATTGCCCAGTTCTAGTATCCACCATTATTTCTTGGCCTCTTTCTATGAACAATGGGACAGTCACCACAGCGCCAGTATCAACAGTTGCTGGCTTAGATCCACCTACACACGATTGAAAACCACCAATGGTGATTAAACAAGAACAAGAAGCAAAATAGGAAAAATCATGTGATAGTTGCAAAACATAAGTTGACAGTCTTTCATTGGGCTCATATGGCCCCGATTTTAATCTGTTCCCGTCCTATTTTTCTTCAACTTGTAGTTTCATCTGTCACAGATAAAAAAAAGCAATACTCTTCAAGCCGAGAGAATCATTAAAGTACCTTGGGCTGTGTCGCCTTTCACACCTGGATCAACTTCAACTACAGTCAACTTTACTGTAATAGGGAGTTCAAAATCAATAACCTAGAAAAAAATAAAAAAATAAAAATTGGCTGGTCATTTTGAGATTGTATTGAAAGAAATTGACAAATTTGAGAAGGCAAGAGCCACAGTAATTATTATAAAGCTCGTGATTCAATTGGAAAACGAGGTACGAGAGTTCAACAATACTTTTCCCTTCCAGAATAGCAAATTGCAGTCCATGCCTTCTTTCAGCCACTTCGATTTGTCCCCAACATCTTTCTCATTGAGACGGAATTCTTCAAATGAACTCTGTAATATATAAATATATATATATATATATTAAACAAAACTCATTAAATTTGGGAATAAGACTAACCTTCAAGTACCAATGCATGTTAATCACTAAAGAAAAATACTCTCTTGAATGAAACCAGTGTCCTCAAGTATATTTCAGAGTGAGAATAAATGAGACAGAAGGAGGAAACCAACTAATCTCCAGTGCAATAGTATATAAGAAGAGAAGCATTAGATCTATTCAGTACCACGAAAGTACCAAATATATGAGATAATATTTACCTCCTAATTAATATCATAATATTTAGTCCGACAGCGGAAAATAGTTTAATGGACATGCACAATTATGCTTCTGTCGACTCTGAGTTGAATGAAGAATTCATTGTAGTAGATCTATAGGTTATGTATAGTATCCCGGGGTAATTTAATCTAAGTGTTCTCTACGTACTTGTCCTGGATTTGTCCAATCCAGGACAAGTGAGATTTTTCGGTCTGCATGTGTGGGAGCAGCTTAAACAAAGAAGAATCAGCGGATGAGTTGTAGTTAGGCCCTGTTAGGGGTGAAATGTCACTCGAACCCAAAGTCTCGTATAGGTGAACTTGGTTCATTCACTTCTTAGGGATAAGAAGGATCCACCAGGAAGAAAACAAAGGTATAATTTGAACTCGCAAACTGTGTCTGAGCTTAAACACCACAATGCATGTGCCTTTATGTCGGTCTAATAGCTTATAAGCAGCGGGTCCTACAGGATGTGTGGATAATAAGTGGGTAATACGTTGTGAGATAATAAGTGCTTAAATTATAATTTAAGCAAAGCCAAACATAGCATAAATGTCACAAAATTGCTTCTAATTTAAAGATATCCAACTTCAATGGTATTTTACTCCTTCCAACAATTGAACAGTATGAAATTATCTGGCAGTTAAATCAACCATCTTGCTCTTTGCCAGCAAAAAATATCAAGAGAATAATTTGAAATTGTTAAATAAGGCAGAGGTGTAGCTTAGCATATTAGAAAGCCTTTTTCACCACTTTTTTCTCTATTCTGAGCGATGATAATGCTTTGACAGCTGCCTTAATATTCTCAGTGGATAAAATATACATGGAAAGCGTGCTAATATTAACGCTGTCATATAAAATTAAAACTGGAAATAGCATACCAAGTCCATAAAGACATACTGGGAACCGTCTTTGTAAGTATATTGTTTGGTTTCTTTGAATATATCTGCCTCTTCAATCTTTCAAAAGAACAGAGCACAAAGAACGAAATTAATACAGGACTGGCAGAGTATAAATACAATTGGAGCATCGTATTAGGATAGTGACAATATAATACTCATCAAGATTGGACACATGAATAAAAATTACTCCCTCCGTCCCACAAAAATAGGCTTGTTTTCCCTTTTTGTTTGTCCCAAATTATAGACCACTTACCTTGTTTGAGAGTATAATTAATGTCTTCATTTTCTAATATACCCTTATTTAATATGTCTTGTTAGCAACAAATATGAACTACCATTATTCAATGTAGGGATATACTAGGAAAAATGTGAGTAAAATTTATAGTTTCAACGTATATTAATTAAGTTTTCTTAATTTGAGTGAAAATATAAACAAGCCTATCTTTATGGGATAGGGGAAGTACATTTTATGATATCATAGTTATCTCAGTGAAGCATCTTACATGTGTAACATAACCAAATGTATAAAAAGAGACTAGACAAAAATGTAAAGAAAAAAGAGTTTCCAGTTTACTAAAAATGATGCTTATAGAACCCAACTGGAGAATGTTTGACTGCCCCCATGCAATATCAGATAATCATTATGTGCTTATCTCGTTGTCAGACCAAAACTCCTGTAGTTATCGTTCCCCATTATTTAATATCTCATGAAGTGATCACTGTGTTCACCGTATTAAATCTATTAGACGCGGCTTTGTGAATTCATATTACCATGATGACCTGAATTAACCAAATTTCAAAGTTTGTATATCCACTATATTCATATACCACTAATCAATCACCAAGCATATTCAACAGCTAAACAAATACATCACACAGATGTAAAAAGGATAGGCTACCACATCAGCAAAAAAGATGATCTATTACCGACTGGTGTCTTGTTTTGAAACATGGCCATCAACTATCTAATGTATACTGAATTACAAGAGAATGTACTTGCATAGATAGAGTTCAACACGGAGGCAAGACACCCAATACAATCTTTAGACATCTGCAGTTATGTCCATTTACAAAAATATTCTCCAATATAAAATGCAATATGGTGACCAATCTAGAGTGCGCCATGCATTTAACATTTCCATCAGTAAATATGACAAGAGCCTTACAGATCACTTCAATCTGCCCCCAAAACAATCAGATTACCTCATGAATATCATTACTGTATTGTAAATGTTATGCTAGATCCACTCTCCACTATCCATGATATTATTCTTTCTAAATAAGCAGGAAAAAAGCAAGAGCACAAAATGCAGCAGTTGCAGAGTGTTACCTTACTTCCAGCTCTGAAAGTTTTCTCAACTTGATTTCCTGTCAAGTAATTGCGTAGCGTGGTCCTCACATATGCTGCCCCTTTGCCAGGTTTCACATGGAGAAACTCTAAAGATTGCCCAAAAACCAAATGAATTTTCAAGTCAAGAACTCCAAATGTTGATACCAAACCACCCCAACAAAATTGTCTTCTTTTATGACAACAATCCAAACCCCAAAGGGATATAATTATTCAATTCTTCGTTGTTTTCAAAACTCTGAGATGTATATTATTAAACAACAGTACAACACATGCAATTCAAAGATTCCATAATGCTAGTACAGGTCAATCATATACCCAAGCTAGAAGAAGAAAAACAACGTTATAAATTAAAATCTAAAACAAAAAGAAAACTGAAGGAATAAAGTTGTACATATCAACAGAAAATCAATAAAAACAAACTAAACTATAAAAACCTTAAACAAAAGCAATTCAAGAACCCAAATTTATCTAAAATTCTAACCTGCAAAGGATAAAATTTATCGAAAAATTCTTCATAATTTTAAACTCTGAAATGATAAATATTCAGTACAAGGCACAGGTGTCTTTATGAATTTCACAATGCTATTGCAGTTTAGTTATAAACCCAAGACTAGAAGGTGCATAAAAAGAAAGTTTTAAATCAAATTCGAGAAAAAAATAAATAAATAAATAAACGAATAACATTGTAAAAGTCAACAGAAAATCAGTAAAGTAAAAATGTAATCTTTATGCTTAAGAAATTCAACAACCTTACATCTGAAAAAAGTAGGTAAAATTAGCAAGAATTACCGATAACCCTCCAAGGAGTTCCATCTACTTCAATGTTGGAGCCCACTTTAATATCATTGCTTGAAAACGCATATATTCCTGAAATCAAATCAAAACAAAACAACATTTTTGCATGATTGATTATCATCATTTAGAGGAAAAACTGGCAATTGGAAACAAAAGCAGTGGTAATAAAATTACTTGGTAATCTGGGACGGTAAGAGATTCTCTTCAGGGGATGGTTGAAAGAAACAGAGGGAGAAGAAGGTGGACGAAAACAAGGACATTTAAAAGCGGAAAATCCCGCCATTGTTTTCGAGAGTGGAGCAGTTGTTCACCTTCGTCCTTGGAGATGGGTGGAAAGTGACGAGGACCAGATAAGGGAGGCGAGGATTGGGTGGGTCGAAGTGGAATTGGAAGTGGCAGTTGAAGTGAAATTTTTTATTTCCCCTTTTTATTTTATTTTTCTTCTTTCGCTCCAAGGGATTTTACGAATGGAATTGTGTAACTGGTTCGAATTTGGGCATAAATTTTTTGAATTGGTATGATTTCAAACAAATTGGCATGCCATCATCCCAATTAAGAGGGCATTGTGCACCCGAATGGGGCAAAGCACCTCGGGATATTCTTTTTGACTTTGCCATCCCTACATACTGAATCAAAAGAACTATATAATTGTATTGAATATTGCTCTAATAAATTATCGTCTTGTGATTTATAAGCACTTTTTTACCATCTCTTTTCAAGTTATTTTTAAGGTAATTCTTAATGTTATTATCAGCACAAGCACTCTACCCTAGAAGATTGGATAGTGGACTTATAGAGGGATAATTTTAGCAGATAATTGGTATATAGTCACGGAAAATTGATCTTGGTGAACAATCGCATTCTAATTGTATTTCACATTCCTTGTGAAAGATTTGTTTTGTGGATTCATAAGCAATTTAAATAACTTCATTTTACAAGTCATTTTTAACGATAAAATTTACCTAAACTGACTATTACAATTGGTATTGAAGCAAACGGCCCATCTCGATAGACCCTCGTAGAGTTCAATTATTTCAATAATATCTTACTTTTGTATTTCAGTATGATCTAATTTATTCAACCATTTGGTTACATCAATGTGTATGTATATTTTACAAATTCATTTCACTTGTGTACTTTCATTAATGTATGAATTCACTATTATTAATTACCAATTAATTAAAATCCACATTCATTTAATTAATATTCATCTTCATTTATGTATTTCAGTATTATTAATTCTAATAATAAGTTAATTAGAATTTCACCTTCAAGAATATATTTCTTTATTAACGTCTATGCATTCTAATTAACATCCAATTTTACTTAATTGGAAATAAATATCATATCAAGTGAGAATAAATTTTTTGGACGATTTTACCCATGCTATAATTCAATTATCTCAATAATACTTTAATTTTCGTTTTTCAATATGTATTTAATTATTTAGTTACCATCAATATAATGTACATTTGACAAATTCATTTTACCAGGTTGCTTTCATTAATGTATGAATTTCCTATTCTTAATTCTCAATTAATTAATATTCACATTCATTTAATTAATATTCATATTCATTTCTGCATTTTAGTGTTATCAATTCTAATTATAAGTTAATTAGAATTTATATTCAAAAATGCATTTCATTATTCACGTCCATGTATGCTAATCAAAATTCAGTTTTACTTAACTTGAAATTAAATAAATAATTCAACATTTATTGTCGTGTATATATTGCTTGGTATTAATTCTAAATTAGTTAACATTCATGTATAGTCGAATATTACTTTTACAACATTTATAAAGTATTCGTAATAACGTGCAACGTTGACTAATTACTCTAAAATAATATTGTCTAACACGTTCAACGTTGACTAGTTATTCTAAAAATAATACTGTCCAACTCAAAGTCTATAGCCTTTAATCCATCACCATATCATCTAAGCGTCTAATTTTCCCTCAATGAAATGTGCATAGGCTGCACGTCAAAAAACTTTTAGATTTGAATAATCTGAATGGTTTCCATTCCACATGTTTATTAGGAAATCAAGTTGCAATTTTAATGGCTTCCCCAAAAAATAAATTTGGTAATCCTAAACTAAGTAACGCGTGCCTCACTTTGTTTAACATGGTTCTATGCATCATCTTAACAATCCAGTTTTATGTGCAAGTTATAGTTCTATGCCTTCTTCGCAAAAGTTGTCAAATTTTAAATTACAAAACTCCACCCTGAGGACTTTAATTTTCTTGTTATTTTTTGTGGTTTTCTATCAATTTTCCACTGTTTAATTTAAAGTTCAATAATGTGTCTGATTAATTTGTTCTTTAAAATAAAGGTGTCCAAGCCATTCTTGAATAATCATCTATTATAAATACAAGGAAAATCTCACAAACTTTGTACAGGTAACCAACTGTCCATTTCTCATTGGCAGATGCCCAAAAAAAAAAAAAAAATGAAAACTGTCAATCAGGTGCTGCGTGCTGCCAATGTAGCACATGTATGCAGTTTGGCACGAAAACTGTACTTTTGGTTTTTTCTTAAAAGTTATAGGTAGTACTTAAAACCAATGTATTTTCTACCCTAGATATCAGCATTGAAGTATTCTAAAATAGCAGAAGGTTTTCTCTATACCAACCATTAGTGGTAATCTACTTTGTTTACCCAATATATAATCTTCACAGAACTCAAGTTTTTCAATTTTGTCTTTACCAAACACTTTTTCTTCAAGAATGACTTGTATGATCCAATCTATGGTGCCATAATTGTGACATATCTATGTCTGTCTTAACTGGATTGGCTAAATCACCCACTAAGGGTTTTGCCTCTTAACAGATATTGACAATTTGTTTTGAGTGATGGTATTATTTCTTTAGACCATAATGGCTTTTAGCAATTCCTGCAATTCTAATATCATAACCTGAATCATCTGAATTCCTTTTAACCGGTGACTAATATCATTAGCCATTAAGATTTGTCCACCATTGATTTGCATAAAGTCAATGAACCTTTCTTTGTTTGGAGACGTGTGAAATGTGCAACCAGAATTTAATATACATTTATTTGCACTCCATTAGAGGTGGTCATAAAACTACCCCATTGGTTCTTGAATGTTATTACAAGCTACAGTTTCACTCCCTTCAGCATTTTGTTTCTTTCATATCAAAAATCCTTTTAAAACAGTATTCGATGAAGTGCCCAGATTTATTGCAGTAATATCATTTTTTATGTTTTTATTTTTGGTCTTGTTCTTACATTTATTCTTTCAGTATGTCATTTTCCTTTGTATGATAATATGTATGGTTAGGTTCTCTTTTCCATATCTTAAGACATTCTTTAAATCCTTGTATCTATCCTCTAAAGAATTCAACTGAGCATTAATCATCTGATCATCAGAGGTTTTGTCATCACAATTTGCTAAATTATGTGTTAGTTTTGTAAATTATCACTAATTACTTCTAATCACAAGTTAATAGTTATTTGTTATATCAATTTCTCAATCGAGAAAAATTTCAAAGTATGCAACAAAGAATCGCCATAGATCATGTATCCACAGGTGAGGCAATCGTCAACGCCAACAGTCACATATGGTATTAAGACAATCGAAGTAACAAGTACAGTAAATTAAGGAATATAGCACTTATGTTAACCTTAAGGACGGTTAACCTTAAGGAATTCAAACCTTACAATCAGCACGTTCCCTCATTTTCTAAGATTCTTTGAGGTACTGGTATTTATTGATTATTCCTCTTAAAAGCCCTTAAATTTTTTGAACTAGTCATAGTTTTATGAGACGCAAGATATTACCGAATGAAACCCTAGTTTTTCGTTGTAGAAAGTCATTAAACCAGATTCGAAAAAGGATTTATCACCAAGAACGAGCCAAATCAGCCCCCACAACGCTCCAAAGATTCGTTGGTTTCACTAAGATACCAGTAATCTAGAACAACCTATATAATCCACCACGATTATGGCTACAAATTTGTTCATAGACTTGAAAAATCTGAGCTCTGATACGGCTATTAGGTCTGAATTCTTGAATCAACTGCTCAACATATCAAATACATAATACCCCTTCGAGCATCCACCAAGAGATAATGCTCAAGCACTAAGTATTAATAGAACAAAAGTGAAAATTAAGTTTACAAGATTACAATCCAAACAAGCCATAGATCTCTTTATAACACTGATGAAGTGTAATCATTCGAGGTTACTATTCAACCATAAACCTATCCTCCGTTTAACTATAAGAAAGAGTAATGATATTCATAGTGCAGCCTACCAATAGTCGCACTACATAATATATATGTGGCAATTTGTTATTTGACATCAAACTGTCATATATACCATATAGGACAGCTACCTATAATTCTATAAAAAAACACCCAGTTTTCATGAAGTCACTAGGAACCTTCCATCCAGCGGTCAAATTGGTGGCATGTGTCATCATCCAAACATAAGTTGCAAAAGTGATGAAAGCGTGTTTCCCCAACTAACAACTTTAGGCTCTTCATATTTGTAGCACAATCTCACATGCTTTTTTTGTCACTCGTTTTGTGGGACTCCTACTCCTTTTTATCAAAATCAGCCTTTTAGCTCTACACGACAAAAAGTTAATTTAATGTAATCGTTAACTGTTAACTGAGATATTGATTTTTTAATTTCATTTCAAACTTTGCCATCATGTTATGACTTGTGATTTCTTAACGGACATAAATTGCTTAGTTGAATATATATGTTAAAACAGGTCCTGGTTTGGTCACTATTAAAATTTAAAAAAAAAATTCTTTTTTAATTTTAATCACATATTTTTCAAATAAAATAATATTACGCACAAATATAAAACTTTTTATTATTTTTCAACCACAAATTCTCCCATCAATTACTATTTCAAAATTTATAAATTTTCCAAAATGAGGGCCAAACAATGACCAGATCTCTCACGCAGGACCACCAAAATGAAAAGTGAGGCTTATGATAATGTCTTTAATTAAATTTCATTGAATTTAACACTTTTATCACAATAATTGATGCCATATGCAACAATTACGTCAAAGATCCATCACGACTTAACCATCACTTAAATAATTTAGTCCATTTGAGAGAAAATATGTGATAGAATTGTAAAATTTGATTTCATTTTTTTTTTAAAATTCATTTTCGATCACGCATTTGATGAGACTCACAATATTTATTTATTTTTTAATTGCATATTTCACTAATTTTTATCAAAATTGAAAATTTATAAAAAATTTAATTTTAATCCCAATCAAACAGGGACTTAGGCCCCGTTTGGGAGGGATTAAAATCCAATTAAAATTAAAAATATGGCCGTTATTGGGTCTCACTCGTCTAATAAAAGTCAACAATAACGGCTATATTTTCAATTTTAATCTGATTTTAATCCCTCCCATACAAGACCTAATATACCGAAAACATGAGATAGGAAGAGTTTGCAGACTGCATGTGATTCCTTTTTAAATGTTTGGGTGTCATTAGAATTTAAGGTTTAATATAATTGTTTCGTAGGTAATCACTACCAACGCATTCTCATGACTTCTATCTTATCATAACTTTACCAACCAATGGTGACTAATATTACCCACAAACTAATTTACTTTATTGAATTATAATTCGAATTGGACTTGTCCAAATTAATTTTTTTCGCGAGTCTATTATGCACTATTTAATACGAGCTTCAAATGAGTTTAATATTGATGGGATAATTCTCGCTCCAATAAATAAGAATTTCAAATAAATTATTAATTTTGAAATTTATTTTCACTATAGTCCCTCAACATTTCAAAAGTATCAAAAAGTGCTTAAATCATAATTTTACCATTTGTTGATCCTTCTCATCAATGAATAATCTTTACTTGTCACGTTCTCGTTTAAAAATATATTTCTCATCATTGCAATTTAGTCCTTAAACTTTGCACATTTGACATTTTGGGCCCATTCTCGCTTTTAAGCTCATAAAATCCACTATTCCAATTAGGAGACATCAATGCAACGTTCTAAAGACTTCAAATCATTTTAACTTTCCCATGATTTTCATTTTAATTGTTGAGCTTTCTAGAATTCGAACAACCTCTAATTAGTAACACACTTTGTTTAAGCTTTAAGCAAATTTAAATACATACATTAAAATTTTACCAATTAAAAAATTGATGAAATTTCAGAAATTTTTTTATCGAACAACCTCTAATTGGTAACACACTTTGTTGTTGTTTTGTTTTGCTTTAATTTTATATAATTATCTTCTTAATAAAATTTTATAGGGAAAATCAAATTAATTGTTCACAACCTATTTTTCAAGTAACAATTTGGTCCCCGGACTTTTAGAAAAGAGCAATTTAATCCTCGACCTTTCGTTGAGTTGAACAGACTGTCCTCAATGGTGACCAAAAATCTTCGTGTGATCTTCATATTCCTAATTGTATGAAATTATGTAACTTTCCAACTTGGGTAAAGCGAGATACATTTTCATGAATGTCACGGAAAGACAACCGTGAGACCAATAATACAATTTTTTTCTCGAAATGATCAGTTAATGGAAGACTAAAGACTGCTTCAAGATCAAAAATCTCAGGCCTTGGGGCCCCCCTTCATGTGAGAGTGGTGTAAAGGATTGTGTAAACCATGGAGTGTACATGTAGCACAATCCATAATTTAATGCCGCGCGAGAAATGTGAGAGTGGTGTAAAGGATTGTGTAAACCATGAAGTGTACATGTAGCACAATTCTTAATTTATTTTCAACCATACATTTACACAATAAAATATTCAGCATGTATATAAAAAATTTTTCCTACTTTTTAACCATGCTTCTAAAAATACGATTCAAATTCATTTTTTTTCCAATTAATTAGAATCAAACGGGCTCTAAGATCTATAGGTTAGATTTTTTGTTAGCTACTACTCAACTACAATAGATTTATGTCAAAAGTGTCCGTGTACACTTATTTATAAATCATTACAATTTGGATCCCCAAGCATTAAGGGCCGTCCGGCGGAATGGTCTAGGCAAAAAGACTCCGATGAATTCCTTTTATTTGATTGGTCCACTCAAATATCTTGTTTAGGCAAGTACCATGTCATTTGATAGTAGTTATAGATTACTCGATTGTCAAATAAAAAGAATACTCGAATGTCAAATAAAACAAAGTTATATATTTTCTCTACTTGTTAATGAAAACACTTATGTTAACTCATGTCTCAACTAGCCTAATTGAGTTTGGACCAAGTTTAAGTTGTTTACCGACGGGTTATCAGAATAAGGTCACTTAATATCCTTCGTTTATCTATAACCTCCATACTTAACATAAAAGTGTCATAATTGAAAAGTTGTGTTACCTAGGGAGAGAAAAGTATGTCGCTTAGCGCTCTTACGCATTGATACATCACGGAGGCAGGAGGCAATATAAATCCATCTTTTTTACGACGTTTTAATTAGGGGTAAGCTTAAAAGTTACTTCTAAGTATATATTACCAGTGAAAATACTTGAGAGACTGTTTGATGTAGATTTTTTAGAATAAATTTTGAGAAAAGTAATTTTTTTAAAGATTAATCTTTAAAAAATAGAAAAAATCACGATTTTACATGCAAATTATTTTATTTAAAAGATGTATGTTTGGAAATGGATTTGAAGAGAAATGAATTTTAAATAATTTGTACATAACAGAGGCTTGAAAAAACTATTAATAAAAATAAGTAACTTATTTATTTTCAACTTTTGTGAAAAATAACGATTATTTGTTTAAAATCATATGTATTTACTTATAACTAAATTAACTTCCTTGTAATTCGAGAAACGGGACCGTTCCTCCTACCCATTAATTTGACAAGTATTTTTGACAAATAATCGTGACTTTTAATTTAATTCAAGCCAATGCTCAAACACTACCAAAAAAAGCGGCTTCAGAGACGTTTACCGCCGGTAAATTTAGCGACGGAGAGTACCGGTCGTCGGTGAACAGAGACGGAAGTAATCCATCGCTGTTCATCGACGACACTTTTCGTATCTAATTGGCGACGACAATATTGTTGCTGATTTGTTTGTGATTAACAACGGTTTGAATAACTTGTTCCTAAATTAGCTACGCGTCTCGCCGTTGTTGTTTCTGTCGCTAATCACCAACATATTTCCATACGGAAACATTTGTTCCTAAATAGCCACGGATTTATTTTCGTTTTTGTTTCCGTCGCTGACCTCCAACATATTTTCCTATGGTTTTTATTGTTCCTAAATAGCTACACTTATTTTCGTTTTTGTTTCCGTCGCACGCGGGCAGGAGAACGGGACTGCAATTACTATTTCAAACTTTATAAATTTTCCAAAATGAGGGCCAAACAATGACCAGATCTCTCACGCAGGACCACCAAAATGAAAAGTGAGGCTTATGATAATATCTTTAATTAAATTTCATTGAATTTAACACTTTTATCACAATAATTGATGCCATATGCAACAATTACGTCAAAGATCCATCACGACTTAACCATCACTAAAATAATTTAGTCAATTTGAGAGAAAATATGTGATAGAATCGTAAAATTTGGTTTCATTTTTTTAAAATTCATTTTCGACCACACATTCTCTGATAAAATAATATCACACGTAAATTTATTTTTTTAATCACACATTCTTGAAAAAAAAAAAAATTACTATTTGAAAATACATTTTTCCTTAAATTCGTTAAAATGGATGCCTAACATGTAACACGTATGAATCTAAATTAAGATTTTGCAAAAACTTGAAGTTTTTACCTACTAAAAACCACTTGTATAACCTCAATCGTACAATAAAACCATAAAAATTCCCTTTCATTTGAGTGGGTGGGAAAAGGACACAAAAAACAATCATCCCCATACTATGACATCATTTTGTCATAATGCCAACATCAGCCAGCACTAAGTTAGTTAAAATCACAAGTAATTAAGCCAACGGTAATGATTGTTGCTTCAACATCAAACAAAATGGGCGTCTTTCACACTGGACAATTGTGCCAGCTTTTGGTACAGACATACATTTTTTTAAAGTACGAGGCATCATTTTTTTCCCCGACAGTGTGTCCCAGAATCTTTGTTGCGTGCGGCAGCCTCCCATTTTTGCTGTTGGGGACATCCTTTATACGCTTCTCGCTCGCTCGTATGCAAGAAGACTTGTTTGAGGATTGCTTGTAAACGTTTTATTTATAAATTGATAGAAACGAGCTTGTAAATTTTTCGAAATCTATATAAAAATACTAATTTGAATATTTACAATTATTTATAAATGATTTATAAACACTTATAATTATAATTTTATTATGATGGAATTTATAAAAATCTTTGTAAAATGCCTTGTTTGAGTACTGCAACAATAAAGCGAATTTGTTTGAGTACTGCAACACAAGACGCCATATGATTGGTCAATTTAACCTCATTTATGAGCTATGGATTTTTGATAAAATTGAAGATCGACTCGAGGTAACTAATCCCGTTGGTAATTAACAAAGAAACTAATTAGATGGCTAATAATTCAAAAAATAATGATCAAGATATAGCAATACAGAGATAATAAATTGGACAGTAATAGCTACTCCGTACTTTTCTAAAATGGATCTAGGTTTGTTATTAGAGCAGGAGTTGATAGCTTTATTCTTGCATTTCGAGACTTTTGTTACACAAGTGATGCTTTTGGATATATAAATAGCGATATTGGCGAAGGATAAATCTGACAAGGATTGTAATTATGAAAATAACTCTAAACCAATATTTTTATTTGAATTAAAAAAAAGAGTCAGGCTACATTTACCAAATTTTTTACACCCCACTCACATTAGAGGGTGGGGACCACGAGCAGACATTTTTGAAAATATATGGGGCCGCGCTTTTGTTGGCGGGGCGGGTAAACCATTCGGTAACCCCCTTCTGGAACACCAATCATTTTCCTAAAAAAATGATAGTATTTGTAGTTTCTACAATCATAGTACCTCAGCTGGATGAGAACTATAAATTGTAGTGGATGGGGAATATATTCTATGCCTTCAATAATTTTGAAATTAGACAATATTTTTGTATTTTCATCCATTTATTAATAATCAAAGAAAATTGTAGAAAAGGGGGGTGGGGTGGCGTGGGAGTAGGTAAGTGGAGGAAGACCTGAAAAAGAAAGGTGGGCGACCTTGAAGCCTTCAAGTCTGGTGCATGCATTTTTTGACACCTACAATTTTTTCTCTTTCTTTGCATGCACATCTTTCAATCTCCTCCCGCCGCCGATCCGGCTCTGCGGTCACCGGAGTTTTTGTCCGACCACCAATACCCCGTAAGTTTATTAGCCGTATTTAACAGTATCATAATTCGAATTTCCCCTCTCTCCAAATAGAAACCAAAAATCAGAGGAAGAATTTCTTGGTTTCAAGGTTAGTATCACTAATATATTCGAATAATTTAATTAATTATTGCTAGTAAATTAGTTGACTTTTCTCTTGTAATACTTCATTATTTTCTTTTCAAATTTGAACGATTTGGGTAGTAAGAAAATGGATTCTCGGGCGTGCATGAATGGGGTTTGTGGGGCATCTTCATCGTCATCAACGTCAATTGAATGGAAAAAGGGTTGGCCTCTGCGATCCGGTGGATTTGCCACTCTTTGTGCTAAGTGCGGGTAAAATATTCTACTCAGATCTCTCTCTATTTCTCTCATGGAAATTCGATTTTGTGGTACTTAATTTGGGGGTTTTGTTCCGAAGCAATCAATCTATTCTAAATTTTCTGTGATTTTGTTTTATCTGTTTTAATTCAACTGGACGATCTTTTTCGTGAGCAGAATTTTTAGCATTTGAATAAATCTTTGAGGTGGGTTTCTCCTATTATCTCGGAAATATTTTTTCTTTTCTTTTTCGACGTTGATATTGACGGCAGTGAAGTCTGTGTCTTTGGGTTTTATGGGGCATGGAGAAAATAGATTAGCAGTTCATAGACAAGAAATCATAGTTCTGGATCTCAACCGTATACTTTTGGTAGATAATTTATCACAGACTTTCTATGGAGTGATGGAAGTAAGGATTAATGTATATATTCGATAATAAATTAGATTAGTTAAAAGTAAAGGGGGCAAATTGCGGTTAAAATTGGAAGTGATATGAGAATGATGTTAGTAAAATTTCACCTTTGTAACCGGAAGCAAGATGTTCTAAGAATAGAATGCCATCTAAGTTTTAGGGCGTCTTCGATAGAGATTAAAATTGGATTTAAATTGAAAAATTAGCCTTTATTGTTGACTTTTATTAAACGAGTGAGACCAATAACGGTTATATTTTCAATTTTAATTGGATTTTAATCACCTCCAAACATGCTCTTAGTTTGAATATATAACCTCACACAAATCTCCTTTCACCCATTTTGTCTTTAGAGCTGTTCAACTTTGTTATGGATGCCCATCAACTTGGGAATAAATTTTTCATGTCATTTGTTTCTTGAGAATTGGGCAGAATCAAGAGTATGTCGTGTTGAGGTTGAACTATCCATTACAGGACAAATTCGAAATATTCTTATCTGCATTATCCTTTATACAATTTCATGAATGCATCCAGAGAATATAATATTACTGTGTATTTGACCACAGGACTGCCTATGAGCAATTAGTCTTCTGTGAAATGTTTCACTCCAAGGAAACTGGTTGGAGGGAGTGCAGTTCATGTGGCAAGGTGAGCTAGGAAAGTGCTTCAATGAGTTGAACATCTCTTTTCTCGGAAAAAATCCTTTTTAATTTTTACTAAGAGAACTTGATTGGGTTGATTTTGGCAGAATCTTCATTGTGGATGTATTGCTTCCAGCTCATTGCTTGAGTTGCTTGACACTGGAGGTGTAAACTGTATTGGTTGCTGCAGAAGTTCTAAACCTCACAGTGTAAGACCAGTTTATGCATGTTTTAATGTGATTTCTTGTACATTAGGCATTAAATATTACAATGAAGCTAAAACCATATTCTTAATATAATGTCGATTTATGTTCAATACTGCACGCCAAACATGTCTTTAATGTTCTACCGTACGTGCATGATGGGTCTTTCTTCAATTTTCAATTCATTAGGAAATGCTAATTGGGCTAAGTGGGTTGGAACTCAAACTTCTCCTTTCCATTCTCCCAATTCTCGGGGTTCAATCTCTTTGCAGCCAAAGTAACCCTCCATTCTTCTAAACTCAGCCTAAAAGATTTGAGTCTGGAACTCTATTTTCAAGAATTGGAACCTCAAGCACTTACCAATCTTTAACATCAGACTATTTTTCATGATTCCATAATATTTTATTTATCATTGAAACTTTTTTAATTTTTAGTCATTGGTTTTAAATTTTAACCAACAAAATAAACACATTTGTTTAGTAATTGTTAGCTATATATGTAGTCTGCAATTTTTAGCATTTTATCAAGGGAATGTAGCCCCATTTTTTAAAACTCATTTTCCCCCAAGATCATTTTCAACGGCAGATTTTCCCAATAAAATAAGAGTGTGTTTGGTAGGGATTTTTGAAGGAAGAATTGATTTTTGAATAGTGATTTGATGGGAAATGTGTGGTTGAAAAAGAAGAAAAAAGTATTGATGTGATGGAAAATATTATTTTATTGAAGAATGTGTGGTTGAAAATGAGAATTGATTTACTGTAGAAAAGGAGAATCTGTACCAAACAGGCCCTAAGTTTACACCACAATTCTCCCAAAAAAAAAAAAAAATTTACTTTTTACAAAATCTATTCTATAAAAATGGGGCTCAAACAGGGGCATATTTTCTAGATGTTATTCCAAAATCAGTCACAAGCTGTTATAACATGATTTATCTTAGTTCATTCTTTATAGTGCATATTGCCTATGATTTTTGGAACCTGTGGAACATTATTCCTTTTATCAGTTTTTTGGATATATCGTTTGTGGAATGTTACAGTGTTTTTCCATAAATTGGCACAAATTTCTGATGCTTCCAATTTTTTATGCAGACTCCGACACAAGAAAAATCTAAATTATGTGTCGCCTCAACTGCAGATAGTATCAGTGGAAATCTTGATAAGATGACATGTACACAATCTGGTGATGATGCTCAAAATGACTGCCGGAAACTAGTGCTACCTTCCGGGAATGATGATCCAACAGTATCTCTTGGTCCAATTAAACTGGAAGAAGGTTTTCCTGCTTCAGAAGATATTGGGCATAAATTATTATTAAATTTTAATCAGGCATCTACTGAGTCATCACAAAACATAGAATCATACAAAGCACATGTGGATGCTAAGACTGTACATAAATCATTAATTCAAACAAACTTGAGTATCGCATTGTCTGCTTCAGCAAATGCAAATCCATCTTATGGAGTGGTTGCTGATGAAAGGGAATCATCCATTTCTTCCTTTCATCAGGGGTGTAGGCCTCGCCATCTTTTCCAGAGACCCCCAAGTTCTATTCTTTCTGCTGGGTTGGAAACAAACTCTAGCACGATTTCACAGTTACGGGTTGCAAGACCACCTGTTGAAGGACGGGTTAAGAATCAGTTGCTACCTCGTTATTGGCCTCGAATAACAGACAAGGAGTTGCAACAAATATCTGGAGAGTATCCATAATTAAAGTTTTTTATTAGTTACCTATCATTTGACACTTATTAAGTTTACAATAACCTCTTATCTATACGCCTTCCTGCAAGTTCCTTAATTTTGTCATCTTCAAGCTCAAATTCTACCATTGTGCCATTATTTGAAAAGGTTTTGAGTGCCAGTGATGCTGGGCGAATAGGTCGTCTAGTTCTTCCTAAAGCATGCGCTGAAGTAAGTTTGTTATTGGTGACAATTGAGATGCACACTAATATTACATTATTGCACCAACCTCTCCAAACTTCCCAAACAGGTTGATTGTTTGATTTTAGCTTTCTTATGAGATGAAGTCCAACTCGTTGTTCAGGCATATTTTCCACCAATCTCTCAACCAGAGGGCCTTCCTCTGAGGATTCAGGATGTGAAGGGCAAAGAATGGGTATTCCAGTTTAGATTTTGGCCTAATAATAACAGCAGAATGTATGTTTTAGAGGGTGTTACTCCTTGCATCCAGTCAATGCAATTACAGGCTGGTGATACTGGTATCTTTCTATGCCCTTTCCTTTGGATAATACCTGATTTCATTGGATCTGTATTTTGTAAAGTTATAGCATTACTATGCTGAATCATCAGTCTTCATAGTCATTAGTTCTTCACTTCCTGATATTTAACTTATCTACTTGATGTCTAGGGTTTAACTTCTTTTTCTGTTGATCACTTCAAAGAAGTCCATTATATTTATGTGATCACAATAATCATCACTATGTTGAACTCACCCCCTTTGCTCTCCCACAATGACTGTTTCAGGGTTTCTTATAAAAGCCTATATTATTTTCTGATGTCTCCGAGTACCTGATATCTTGTTCTAATTGTTAGCCTATTAATTGCTGAATTGTCAGAGTTGGACTATTTGGTATCCTATTTTTATTTATTGTTGGTACGATGTTTATATTGTACTCCTAGGCCCAGGGATAGATTCCCCGAAACATAGCAAAGATCAATCACCAAATTCGTAGAGATACCTTACTTTGTCATAATCCCAAAATCCCTTCTTCAGTCCTCTTTAACCTCTGTTGTTTCTTCTTCCATTTACTCCACCTCCATTACTCTTTAACATTTGATGCTGACTCTTTTACGGACTCTGCTACTAGTGCAGTGTAACGAAACATAAAAAAATGGAAAAGAGAAAAAGGTGGGAATGGGGACTCTGTTGCCTTTTCTTGCCTTCATTGTCTATAGATTCTTTCTGTCTTTACTGCAAAGACCTGACCATTGGCTCAAGTTGTTGAGTTCAAAATGCATCTACAGAAAACATAGTGTAAATAAATGAACTATTTTTGGTAAGATTAAATTGGACATTTTGGCATCTAGTTTCTTCCATCAAGTACGCTGTTGGTTATCTATAACCAGAATTGGGACTGGGTGGTTGAGGTTGGTGCTTGTTCTTTAGTATGCGCCATTTCTCAGAATTGGTTGAATGAGGAGGGCATTGATGTGGAAAGAAGGTGAAGATATTGGAGTGCGCTATGTCCTGGCTTTGACCACATTTCTGGTTTACCATTTTCCTTGTACTATACGGATAGAGTTGTCTTGCAGGAAAATTTGTACCAATTCAAACATACTGATAAATTTTTTAAATTTGCTTTATAATATATGCTCTTTCATTGGCTAAACTCTTTCGGTGTCACGTGTTGACCATGTGTAATGAGTTTAACGACAGTAGTCAAGGTACACAAATATTGAACTGTTTTTTACATTTATTTTTCGGTAAGTCCCTTCTTGTACTCTTCTCTCTAAGTTAATTACTCATCCTCTCATCTCTTTGAAATGTTGTTTCCTTCCAGTAACTTTCAGTCGCATGGATCCAGAAGGAAAACTTCTGATGGGGTTTCGCAAAGCGTCAAGCACTATTTCTGTGCAGGTAGTCTAATTGTCTGCAGGAGACATTTTTTCATACTGGATAAGTTTCTCTCTTGTGTTTTTACGTATGCATGAAATATATGTACTTTTAACGGTGTTTGGCTTTACTTGGCGAATGCTGATATTGGTGTTATTCATTAAGCAGGATTCACATCTATCTGCCTTATATAGTGGTGTGTTACAAAATGAACCGCTCTTGGCAGCTGCAGATAATCTACCTGTAATGAGTGGCTACTCTGGAATTCTTCAGTCACTGAAAGGAAGCAGGAATTCTTCTATGAATGTGCCATCTAAACATTTTTATGGTGGAAATTTAAGCCCACTAATGTCTGAGAAGAATGGGTCCAAAGCTGGAGATGGTATGCTTCCCCAGTCATTGCCACTTCCTGAGCGCAAAAGAAGTCGAAATATTAGCTCAAAGAGTAAGAGATTACATATTGATAGTCAAGATGCTTTGGAGCTGAAACTTTCATGGGAAGAAGTACAGGATATGCTCTGCCCCCCTCTTAGTGTCAAGCCAAGCACTGTCACAATCGAGGATCATGAATTCGAAGAATTTGAAGTAAAAACTTTTTGAAAATTCTTCTTTCATTTTATTGTTTCTTTATTACTGCATGAAAAAGGATTTCCTGTACCTGTTACTAAAAATCTCTGGTTATGGTTTGACATTTATCTTTGCTATCAGGAACCACCAGTTTTTGGGAAGATGGGTATTTTTACTGCCCGCATAGCTGGGTAAGATAAGAAATTCATAAAACATGTGTACTTTCTATCCCTTTATGGACTGAACTCTACGGTAGTTCCTATATCATTATAATTTGACTCGATGTAGACTCGCAAACATTCAGTATTTTTTGCCTCATCCTACAAGCCATCTGTCAATCTAATTTATACTTACAGTTGCAAAAACCCAGGAGTTCACCACTACCTACAATTATTTATATTTCCTTCCATTGTTTTCGGGCTTACTGAATGACCTTATGAATAACTCTATCCAGGGATGAGCAGGAGCAGTGGGCTCAGTGCGATAGCTGCTTTAAATGGCGAAGACTTCCTGTTGATATTCTTCTCCCTCCTATGTGGACATGTCAGGACAATGTTTGGGACCAAACAAGGTTGGTTGTGTTTTTCAACCTTTTCTTGCCAGATAAGGTGGAAAAAGGTTTTTCTACATGTGACGAGTAATGCTGTTTTTCTATCAGATGCTCGTGTTCTGCACCAGATGAATTGGGTGCCAGGGAACTTGAGAATCTTCTTAAAATGAACAGCGGTAGGTTATTCTGTCCGTATTCTAAGTTAAGGATGGTGTCTGCCATGTTGGAATATCTTTTAGTTTTTCCTCAAAGTGCAGGATATGTTATGTCCGTAGCCGATGGGGTGGAGCCAGGACATCAGAGTTGACATTACTATGAATAGTTTGATTAGGAACTTCAGTAGATTCTGAAGAGAATTACATGTCCATCTATGTTCATAATAACATCATTTATACTCGTGAAGACAAACTTGGTCATCTGATTCATCTAAGAATGAATAAGCAGAGTTTTAGGTGGTCTCTGGTCTCCATTGGGGCTCCACCTGAAATTATCAATCACTTATTAAGGCATGTAATCATGCTTGTTATATTGAAGTACAATGAAAATGAATTGACTAATTTAATTCACGAAACTCGTTTTAAGGTGTATTATTTGAACTCTGTTGACCGAGTGTATTTATGTAATTTATTAATCTTACAATACTTAGATCATTGCTTATTTTCTCTTCCATAGAGCTTAAAAAAAGGAGATTTGCAACGAGCCACAGATCGGCAGAGGCATGTGAATCTGCAGTCCAAGAAGCTCTGGTGAACGCTGCATCTGTTGGAGGTGACGTGAGTGAGCCAGGTGCTTCATCTGTTGCAACGACTACCAAACATCCTAGACATCGTCCCGGATGCTCCTGCATTGTGTGCATACAGCCTCCCAGTGGGAAGGGTAAACACAAGCCCACATGCATGTGCAACGTATGCATGACAGTCAAACGACGCTTTAAGACCCTGATGATGCGCAAGAAGAAACGTCAATCAGAGCGTGAAGCTGAAATTGCATTGAAGAATCAGTTTGTGTTGGGTCCCAAGGAGGAAGCAGAGGTGGAAAGCATCCCGAGTAAGACAATATCTCAGCCTAATCCATCTAATGAAAAAAGATCGGGAAGCGAGTTGTTTTTCCAATGCCATGACAACAGTCAATCTCAAGAAAATGCTGAAATGCACAAGGGAGGATTGGACTTGAATTGTTGTCCAGATAGAGAAAATGTACATACAGGGTCGTTGCGTGTAAGCATGATGAGTCTTCTTCAGGAAGCTAGTTTGCCTTTGGACACATATTTAAGGCAGAATGGTCTTACAAGCTTGGCTTCTGTCCAAATGGGTTCTCCACAGGCCCCCGAAGAGAGTGAAACTCGACTGCAAGAAGACTCAGTCCCTGCTGTTGTTCAGGAGGATCAAGACTGTAATGACGAACACTCAGAGCCTGATCAAAGTGAAAACGATACTGCATGATATCTTCTCCTTTTTTGTTGTGTTCAATTTTTATTTTCTGTCCTGTTCGAGTAGAAATTTCTCAATATATGTGATATTTCAAGTTTTTTGTGATCTTACTCTAGAATGGAGTGTAAATATACGTGTTGTTTGTATAAGTAGAGTTGTCCTGAACTCTTGGCAAAAATGTGGAAAACTAACTACATTATACAAATGATAACTGCGTTTTTAAAGATAGCATCGTCAAATAATTGTTTAGTGATGAAGCATTATATGCTATGGCCACAAAAACGGATGTACCCCCGACATTTTAGACAGGTAGAAACTAACAAGGTAGAAACTAACAAATCCAAGATAACGAACTTTATTTATATAACATCGACCATCGAGCCAAACCACAGCTTTATCCTTTCTATGTCACGTAAGATCACTATGCAAAAAAAAAAATAAAAAAATAAAATGGTGTCTATGGACAATTAGAATCCTTCGACACTAGACCTGCGAACAGTTGAGGATGATGATCTCCTGCTTTCTTGTATATCAATATTCTCAGCTGAGAGGGTAGATGAACATGTTTTGGGAGCAAAAGATAAGGGCAGTAGAGCCAACCTTGTGGACGAAATAGATGGCCCACTTGTTGGAGGTGAAGGAGAGAACTTGGACTTGGGAGCAGGCGTAATGATCCCGTTCATGCTGGGTGACCTCGACATATGTTTTGCACTAATTGCTCCTGGCTCTTGCAATGGAAACCGAGAGGTATACTTGATGTCTTGTATGGTTTTGAGATGCTCCACAATAGTTCTCATGGTGGGTCTCTCGGATGGATCCATTTGAAGGCATCGTTGCGCAATATCAGCCACTGCCCGAGCTGCTTTGGCAGGGAAACGACCCTTTAGGCGAGGATCCATGATCAGGGACAGTCTAGAGTCATCAGCCAAAAAAGGTCGACTCCACTTAACTAAATTCCTCTCTTCCTTTGGGTGCCGGCTGTCAAAATTTTTCCTGCCAGTGAGCAATTCAAGGAGCACAATCCCAAAACTCCAAACATTGCTCTTTGGTGTAAGCAATCCTTTCTCCAATGTCTCCATCGAAAGATTAGCCACACCCTGCACAAATGTTGCAGGAAGACGATGATAGAATTAGAGAACAAACTACTCACTACAGCCAAACCAAAAAAACAAAAAAAAAAAAAACAAATAAATATTGACGATGCTAAGGGCACTTACAACAGAACAGCTAGAAATATCTGTCTCTTGAATGTGGCTGATACAGCCATATCCAGAAAGCTTTGCACTAAAATCTTTGTCAATCTGTATATTGGCAGTTGAAAATTCATGGAACATAGCCTGTACAGAGGGGCAGCATTTGGTAAACACAGAGAATCCAAACAAAATAGATAGTGGGTTTGCTTTTGTGCTCGAACATTAAAATATATATATTTATGTATCAGAGGATCAGATTTTACCTGGAAGGGTCCTTCCTCATGCAAGAACGTTAAACCCTGAGCAGCACACAAAGCGGCTTTCATTCTGCTATTCCAATCAGTAGGTGGACCATCCAGTCTTCCATACAAAAGCCGATCTAAGCTTCCATGGAATAGCCTCTCATATACCAACATCCTAAGGTCTGATCCTTCACGTGCATGAAAACCAACCAACTTACAAAGGAAGGGATGTTGTAAGGATGCAAGTGTACTCGCATCATTCACAAATTCCTTCAAACTCTGCAGAGTAAAATTAAATTGTTAGACTAGTGAAAAAACAAAGGAGTTCGCCAAATATCTTACAAACAAAAGCACGTACTTTCTTAGGCAGAAAAAAATTAATCAATTGAATATCTTCATATCGATGAATCTAACATTACCTGGGTGGAGTGGTGAAGGCGAGTTACAGTAGCTTCGAGCTTCTTCGAGCCAGAAGTAACATCCACAAACGATGCTCGGTAGATTACTGATGACATACCTTCAGACATACATCGCTCAGGAGAGAAGTTATGGCAAGCAGATGCAATTTCTTCATAAGAAAAGTTAAGAAGCGTTCCTATAGAAGGCAGTGTGGGAGGCAACATTGGAGGCAGAGGAAGTGGTCCAGAGGCATATAGAGGGCCACTTGTGTTCACCATTTTAAAGCTTCCCATGGCTTTTAGAGAAGTACTAACATGAGGAGACGGAAGAGGAAGAGGTTGAGGACTTGGTGAATGATATTCCTTCATCAATCCAATACGATTCTTATGTTCTTCCTGTTCCTCAAATTCAGAGGACAAAAGTGCGTCGTGTTCTACAGCATCAAGACTTGATGGGGCAGATAATGCTCGTGCCCTAGAACTACTTACTCCATTGTTTGACTGAATAGGTTTTACTCTGGTTCTAAAACTCGACGGTGCAGATTGCAAAGAACGAGTACAGGTTGGGGGTTCAGGCAACTTAGTCGGGGATTGTTCTCGTGGGTTGACACGTTTGATGTAAATGGTCTGATCTTTCTTCTTCTTACGCTTTAAAACGGTAAAGCATCCCATGTTGCAAACAAAAAGCTTTAGATTCGAGAAAAGTACACTACGCTCCTGCCATGTGAAAGAAGAGAAATGCATGTGACTATGCCGCAAACCTTCATACCCAAGACTATAACGCCATTATCATTAAATCACACCATGGCGGCATGGCCTAGACTGATCACGAAGAATTAAAAAACATTTCTAGGCCAGAGAGGCATAATCACATGCCCAATATGGATTCACGCTCTTCTAAAATAGCAACAGATAACTGTATGATTCAATGCTCTAAATATGCATACATTTGATTTTGGTTGCAAACTGTGAAGGCATTGCTGGCTCACAGATAAATTAATTTTCCAAGCATAAATTTCTTCATCTAAAATTATCTGCCAACAAAGCCCTAAATCTTTTGGGAAAGTAACAATTCATGGTATTGCAGATTTTTTCAACGCAAAATTACAAATAGAACAGCACTCAATTAAAAACTGAACTGCCCGAATATTGTATCATGAATTAACGAGGATTGAATATTACAAAACCCAGAAACACATAAGCAAAAAGATGATGCAGAACAAACCTGGGGATGCAATTCCACTGAATCTTGAACTGTTCTTCAATAAAGATTGAGTCCTTACAGAATTTCACCGATTACAGAGATGCCCAGGTGGCAAATTTCCAATCTTGATAATTTGTGAGACTCAATTTTGGTGAATCGGAAAAACCCTAAAGAAAGTTAAAGCAAAGCGACGCGGAAGATTTTTGGGGAAAAAGACGAGTTGTTGAATGGTTAAAAAGTGTGGACCATTAAGATGGGAACAAGGAACGATGGTCAAACCAATCAAAATCCCATCTTTAATTCTCAATTAAGAAAATGGAATATAATTAATGTCGTCACCTTACGTTTACAGTGGCATCAATTTTCTTGTGAGAAGGTTTGACCTTAAAACCTTAAGAGCTGTAGATTTCTACCCTTGACGGCCCGTAGAGTTGACCGTCTTTTCGGCGTGACTCTTCGAACTCCCAACTCATACTTCGTGTATGTTCGAAATAAAAGGCTCTTAGTTGAAATAAAATTAAGTCCATTTTTTGTGGAAATTAAAATTAAATTTTTGATAAATTTTGATAAAAGTTGATAAAATATTTAATTGAAAAATTATGAATTTCATAAAATATTTAATTAAAATTAAGTCCTCGTTTAATTCAAATTCTTCCCAAAATTCATTCGTTCAATACTTATTTTCAATAACATATTATTCAATAAAATAATATTACAAACAAATTTAATTTTTTTCTTATTTTTTAACCACATATTTTTCATTACATCACATCATAAAATGTATTTTCTTCTTAATCATGTGTATCAAACACCCATAATTGTTAACGTTGATTCAGATTAAAATTTGAATTTCGATCTCCACCAAATATGACCTAAATATTAATTTTAACTATATATTCACAATTAATATTCTTTATTATTTATACACTTCGTAGATTCCATTACTCTTTTATTATAATCTCAATAGATGATTGTAATTGGTTCAATTTATAAAAAAATAAAAATGAACGCCGTATAAGTAGGTAATATTTATGAAAACCACAAAATGCATTGATAAAATTGTATGTTTGAACATAAATAATTTTTAAAAAAAACATATCATACATGAATATAAATGAATTGTTATGTGCTTAAAATAATCATCACTTTTATCATCTGAAGTAATATCTAAGAATAAACTAATTTCTTGTAGGGTTAAATATCACAATCGCCATAGAACTTACTCATTTGTTTTCTACTTGCAATTGAACTCTGTGTGTGTGTATATGTTCAAACATAATATTTATAATTTGAGTTGCTAATGAACTTTTCCAAATATTTTATAATAGTCATTGAACTTTAAAAGATCTTCGATTGTCACTAAACTTACTAAAAGATTATCTGATCGTCACATTGATACTCATCATTTTAAAAGTTGACGAACTTGATGGACATGCTAAGCCCTTGTTCGGCCCCCATTATTCCAAAAAATTATTCTTCTCTTTTTTAATTTCAACCACATAATCTTTGATAAAATAATATTACACGTAAATAAAAAAAAAATTCCTTCTTTTTCAACTATACATTCTCAAAAAAAAAAAAAAACTATTCCAAAAATTGTAATTTCAAATAATGGGAGCCAAACGGTGGCTAAATGTTATGCTAGTCTATTAACTTTTAAAATAGCAAGTGATGGAGTGACACATGGGATAAACCTAGTAAGTTCAGTAACAATTCAACGAGCTTTTAAAGTTCAATGGTAACTGAAAAACATTTAAAAAAAATTCGGTGGCAATTATAATAAATAACCCTCTTTTGTAGTTTGAATTTGGATCCCATAATTGTAACTTCTGTTATTTACTCAATCAAACTCGAAAGTAGTACCAAAAAATATAAAAAAATAAATCCATATAATGTTATAAAATAGAGAGAGAAAAAAAAGAGAGATTATGTGTATTTTATTGGGAAAAAAAAAAGAGAGAGAAAAAAAATAAAT